CCCCATTGGGTTTTAGGTGTATAGTCAGCGCTTGCGGATTATGGTGACTAGTGTTGGAACATGTGTTCGTTGTATCGCGAGTGGGAGAGGGGGTGAGAGCGGAGTTACCAACTCTTTGGATGGTCATGTGTATGTGTGATACACATACACACACACACATGCTCCATTATACCTGGATGTGATGGGTAAATATTTCATGCAGCTTCACTGGTGGGGGGATTAAACGGCTTAAGTGGATTAAGAAAACGCGGGTATAAAATGGTTGAGGACGCGTACGGCAGGGGGCGCTGGGGATGCGATGAAGATATCTATGGGCATGGATAATGATTCTTTAGGTTCCAATGAGCAGATTGTGATGAGTTTAATCGCCGGGTGAATTTTTATGGCGACTGCAGGTGGTACTTGTATCGATTGTTTGTTTTATGGAAGAAGGGTCTGACTATTCGGTGATCGATTTCAATTTATCAATATTATTCTGGAGAATAGTATCAAGTTTTTTGTGGAATTGGTACATGATGCTGAACAAAAAGAGAGACTTGTCCATTTTTTCTTGGATCGTGGAGGATTCTTACACCATCAGCTGTTGCCGCATTTGTCAGACTGACGCTTTATGACGGTTATGTCTTGTCTGTTAAAGTTGAGTCACTCGTGAATATAAACAGGTGGTGTTGGGGTTGGCTTATATGAAGCTTTTGATGGATTGATTCAAAGCTTGTGGAGATATTTGAAATTCGGGGAATTTTTAGGAATTTCTTCGCGTGTATAAAATGGTTGACGACGCCTACGCTAGGGGCGCTGGGGATGCGATGAAGATGCCTATGGGCATGGATAATTGTGCTTTAGGTTTCAATGAGCAGATTGTGATGGGTTTTATCGCTGGGTTGAATTGTTTATGGCGACTACAGGTGGTGCTTGTATCGATTGTTTTATTATGGAAGAAGGGTTTGACTATTCGGTGATCGATTTCAATTTATCAATATTATTCTGGGGAATGGTATCAAGTATTTTGTGGAATTAGTACATGATGCTGAACAAAAAGAGAGACTTGTCGATTTTTCTTTGGATCCTGGAGGATTCTTACACCATCAGCTGTTGCCGCATTTGTCAGACTGACGTTTTATGAGGGTTATGTTTTGTCTGTCAAAAGTTGAGTCACTCGTGGATGAAAACAGAGGGCTTCTGATGAATTGACTCAACGTTTTGGGAACATTTGAGACTTGTGGAGTTCCGACGAATTTCTTTGTTGTCTTGATCGATCGACTCAGGGAATTTGAGACGGGGAGGTGTAAAATGAGGATTTCAGAGTGTGGGGATATTGAACCGCATGTGATTGATGACTCTATTGTGAGATACACACGCACACGATAGCTTTATTTAGTTGATATCCCAGTTTTTATTTATCTACTTTGAAACAATATCAATGAAAAAATTTATTTATTGCAAAAAAACTTTAGGACCGCTTTTTTTATTTTACGCATATGATATATCACATGTGATATATCATAGGTAAAAATCAATAAAAACAGAAGTAATTATTTAAAAAATCATTTATTTCATATCAATGGAATCCAAAAATTGAATTCCCGTGTTTCGTTTTTCACTGATACATTTACATTTAATTCATTCCCACAAAAACGAAAGCCATTTGAACTACATCCACACGCATATGCATGTCGTTTATCCCTCGTTAAGTTTTATAACGAGTGGTGAGGTTGACGCGTACCATTTTACCGTACATTTGGGAGTAGTTATGAAACCCGAGTTTACAAATCAACTCACGGGCGAAATGTTTCGGGGACATGGAGAGTTGTAGCTGTGCGAGAGGGGAGTGTGTAACACCACCTTTTCGTTCTCTCACGGAGGGCACGAGAAAAAAAAGGGTAAACGCATCCGGTGGAATGGGGGTGCCTGGTGTCCGGAAAAAGGCCGACGATCTGGAATTTACGAAAGCGGAAAAGCTCGTTCTGCTCTGCTTCTTGGATAAGTGCTGATAGGTCTTCTGCCTCTATTTACTAGGTTTTTCAGAATATTTTTTTTCTTCAATCCGCACATTTATGTGGGAACATGGAGATATTTTCTGATGGTTCATTCCAGAAATTCAAAGAAAGATGGAAATTTTTCCTTCTTTTCTCTGTAATAATGCGTGTCGGATACAGCTGCTGTGACAAGAATTTTAAAATCGATTCCCCATCATAATTCAAATTATCTAGAGAGAATTTCCATACGGATTTTACTTCTTCACGCCCTCATAATCCCAAATATCCCCTCCATTTTCAAAAAACAATTACCATTTTCAAGTTGAAAAGTTTCAAGATGTTTCCTTACACTTATTGTTTCACAATGGATTATTTCCTATTGCATCTTGCGAAAAAAGCGTAAAACTTTCATTAGGCAAAATGAACTCTAGTATACCGATTTATTATCTTTTCTAAGCGTCTTTTAAATATTTCTCGTCCTATCGTTGTGCTCTGCTTCTTGGATAAGTGCTGCTGATAAATCTTCTACTTCTATTTATTAGGTTTTTCACATTTTTTTTGGGAACATTGAGAATTTTTCTGGTTCTTCATTCAAAAAATTCGAGAAATCCTGAAACATTCCCCTTCTTTTCTCTGTAATAATGCGTGCCGGTGCAGTTGCTACGGTTAAAAATTTAAAAATCGATTCCCAATCATAATTCAAATTATCTAGAGAGAATTTCCATCTGGATTTTACATCTTCACGTGCTGCATACTAAGCAGATAATTTTTATCCCTCCCTCATAATCCCAAATATTCCCTCCATTTTCATAAAACAATAACCATTTTCAGGTTGAAAAGTTTCAGGATGTTTCCTTACACTTTTTGTTTCACAATGAACTATTTCCTTTTGTATCTTGCGAAAAAAGCGTAAAAATTTCATTAGGCAAAATGAACCGTAATAATGCGTATCAGATACAGTTGTTGCGTGAAAAAATTAAAAATCGATTCCCCATCATAATTCAAATTATCTAGAGAGAATTTCCATCCGGATTTTACATCTTCACGTGCTGCATACTAAGCAGATAATTTTTATCCCTCGCTCATAATCCCAAATATCCCCTCCATTTTCATAAAACAATAACCATCCCCATGTTGAAGTTTCAAGACGTTGCCTTACACTTTTTATTTCACTCTCGGAATCACAATGAAATATTTCCAATTGTATCTCACGAAAGAAGCGTAAAAATTTCATTAGGCAAACTGAGCTCCAGTATAACGATTTTTTACCTTTTCCAAGTGCCTTTTAAAAAAATTTCTCCCTCCCCAAAAAGTTAACTCAACACATAGAGAAGTGGAGTATTTTTTTTACTCCACGTACATTCCGCTCTCACGGGGTAAGAACTGATGTTGGAGTTCGAGGAGATACTTTTTATGCTTTTATTTTTATGACGCACTGGGGCCAGACGAGAAAAGTTGGTGAACCGTGTGGAGATCCCGCCGATCATTAGGAAAGAGAGAGGGACCGGAAAAAAATATTAAGGGGAGGGAAATGTGCGAGTGAAGTGGCGGGGAGGAGGGGGTGAGTAAAAATTTCCACTCGGCAAACTTGGCAATCTCTGTAACGAGCGGAGCTGCGAACGAGCTACATAACAGGGAGGTTGAGCGAAGCGAGAGAAATCAGAAAGGAGGACGGAAAATAACAAACATATATTTTTTTCCACCCCTCGGGATTTACCACGTCGCAAACCTGCGACCATTAATACTTATTGGCTGCGTGAGCTCATGTCGAAGTGAATCAAAAGCACTTGTTTGCTATTTCTTTTTTTTGTGTTTTTTTGGGCTTTGACTGTTCATTTTCTGGGGAAATGAAGAGTTATGGGCAGAGAGTTGATATTTTTTATCGTGTGAAGTGAAGGTTATTGTTAATAATTCAAGAAAAATTGTAATTCTTTTCAAAATTCCGCTTTATTAAAAAATTGGAAATATTATTATTATTATTATTATTGCTATAAGGCTATAAAAAAGTTGAATTTTTACGCATGAAGTAAAAGTAATTGCGGTTAATTGCAAAAAAAATTATCCCCCCTGATTGAAATTAAAATTAAAATTTATTAGATCCGTGAAATTGAAATTTTAAAGTAGGTGACCCACTTTACCCCAGTTGTGGGTAATCAAATAATTGTAAAAGCCACTGGATTACCTTTCAACTTCGTATTTTAAAGACTAAAGACCGTCACCTAGCGACAAAGAGCTTCCAATTCTGTTTCGGGTGAAATCATTGTTTCCATTTATGTTCCCTTCGGCGATTTTCTCTTAAACTCATAATCTCCATCAGGCAATTCTCACTTTTGAAAATAAATAATCCTTCAAAGTTTCCAGTCCATGCGAGAACCACTGGGGCAGAACAGGTTTCCTTTCCAAAAGTAAATTCATTTTATTTTCTTCCAATTCCGCGAATAAATAAAGAATTACAATAATAAAAAAATATATAATGTATTTTTATCCAGAAAAAAAAATTCTCAATTAAAAATAATAAGGCCCATTTTGCCCCAGTATTTTTTTAAATATCGTAAAAGTAAAAATTCTCCCGTTCTGTCAGGGGCACAATCTAATCGTCAATATTTTTAATAGATGAAAAAATGTACTTTTTACTTTTGAGCAAAGAATTCTCATTATTGAAAATAAGTAATTCTTCAAAGCTTCTTGTCCATGCGAGAACCACTGGGACAGAACAGGTTTCCTTACCAAAAGTAAATTCATTTAATTTTCTTCCAATTCCACGAATAAATAAAGAATTATAGTAATAAAAAATATATAATGTATTTTTACCCAGAAAACAAAATTTTCTCAATTTAAAATTGTGACTCCACAAAATAATGAGTCCCGTTTTGCCCCAGTAATGTTGAAAATACCGTAAAAGTAAAAATGTCCCTATTCTGCCAGTGGCACAATCTAACCGTTAATATTTTTAATAGATTAAAAAAAAATTATTTTTTACTCTTGAGCAAACAATTCTCACTATTGAAAATAAGTAATCCTTACTTGTCCATGTGAGAACCATTGGGGCAGAACAGGTTTCCTTTACGAACGTAAATTCATTCTATTTTCTTCGAATTCTGCGAATAAATAAAGAATTACAATAATAAAAAATTATATAATGTATTTGTATAAAAAAAAAAAAATTCTCAATTTAAAATAATGAGTCCCGTTTTGCCCCACTAATGCTTAAAATACCGTAAAAGTAAAAGTATCCCTATCCTGTCAGTGGCATAATCTAACCGTCAATATTTTTAATAGATTTTTAAAAAAATATTTTTTACGCTTGAGCCAAGGATCGTCTCCTTATTCAGCGAAAAGTGATCCACTCCCGGCAATAGTCAGCCCGTTACCCATTCGTTTTTATCCTTCTATTCATTTTTCGCATCGTTTTATATTCATCGTGAAATGCCACACGTGTCCCCCTCCCCATTATTTTTCAGCACTCTCAGCACTGTTCCAATAAAATATGCCCACGCTGACATTACATTGATATCCCCCTTAAAAATTCCGTCGATATTGTAACATTCCGTTTGCCAGTATAAAAACGTTAATCAACGGAGATATAAAAAATAAAAATAGAGCGTCGTGTATACTTTTTGCAGATGTTTATCATTTTTTAGTTCAATTGAAATTTCAGGGAATTTCGTAATTGAAAATTCAGAAATTGATAAAAATCAATAGAAACCATTAATTAGTGTAATTATTCCATGCAAATTCATAGAAATCATGGCAATTTAGATTAATGAACGTTCACATTTTTTAAATACTTCAGTAAACTTTCAGTGAAATCAGCAATTTCATAATTTTTTCGTTAATCGGCGGAGATATAAAAAATAAAAAATCGGAGGGCAATGATACCGAGAGCATCTTCTACACTTTCTGGAATTTTTTGTTTAGTTCAACTGATATTTCAGGGAATTTCGTCATTGAAAATTCAGAAGTTAATAAAAATCGCTGGATACTGTGAATTAGTTCAATTACTTTCTGAAAATCACTAGAAATGCGGAAAGGCAGTAAATATATTCTCAAATCGTCAATTAATTGAAAATCCTGCGTAATTTAACACTGATATTAATTTTTCCTATGAAAATTCAAAGAGCTGATGAGTTCTCGTCTCAATGCTGTCCAAAAAAATTAGAATTTTACCATTTCAATTCTTTTCTAATAGACTATTATGCCCTCCCCCAATCCCAAGACCATTGAAATTCCGTCCATAGACATTACGTAAACAACAAATGTTCAAACAATACAACATCGCCAGATGGTACCTTATGACACTCCACCGATTCTCCATCAAAACAAACGAAATAAAGAGTACATACCTCATGACTATAATCCAATGCACAAAAACATGGAAAACAATAATCACAATTTCACTGTAATATCCACTCAATCAATCGATTTCCCGCTAAATATCGACTGAATACTCCTCTAATTTCTCAGAATGTCATTGCAAAAATTTTACGCGTGACGAATTACATCTCCAAGTCACTGATTTATTCTCTTGACTACAATTTGTCTTCGTCTTCGTCACTGAATTTTCACTCAATCGAATGATTATTTGGGCTTTTGTGGACACGTTACCGTCACCGGTTGAACTGAGAGCCAATACGTTGATGACACGATCGAACCGACGGCTTGACGTCGACTGAGGAGCCAGAGTCACTGGCAACTGGCGTCCGCCCCCGCTTTACTGCTCTCTGGTACTGCTACCTCCCTTCTCACTCGATTTGCGTTTTGCCTCCCCGCGGGGGTTTTCTCTGTTCCACTTGTGATTCGTGTTATCGGTTGAACTCGCTCGCGTCCACCCTCACACTGAACTGTCGGAGGGCTGGTCGCAACGTTATTACACCGCGCACAATGGGCAACCAAGGGCGCGCATATCACGCTTGAGGCAACGCGCAGATCCAGCAAACCATCAGAAAGGATAGCCGGAGAATTGTGTACAATGAGGAACCTCGGACTCATCATTTGCTCTTGGTTTATTATCAGTCGCTTTTAATTTTTTGTTGTGGAAATCTTTTTCCTTTCCGAGGGCTTTTATTAAATTCAATTGTTCTCGGGTCTATGATCTTGCAGGGGCACTTCATATTCCGTTGTTTTGGGGTTAATTAAAAATTCTGTTGGGCGATATGGAAATTTAATCTAGGAAATCATTATTTTCTTATTGTGATGGGGCAAACAGTTGCTCTTTATTTTCCTCCAATTCCAGGCGTCGATCTTGACGATTTTTCAGATGAATTCACGCCAAAATTCGTGATTATTTCCTCACCCCACCGTTTTATAAGTTTTCAGGACTAATTATTCCGTTTCATGACGGGTTAATTATGGGGAAAATAATCGAGAGGTATTTTTAATATTAAAAAGCGTCTTGTAATGAATTGTATACAATGAGGAACTCGGACACATCATTTGCTCTTGGTTTATTATCAGTCGGTTTGAATTTTTTTTGTGGAAATCTTTTTCCTTTCCGAGGGCTTTTATTAAATTGAATTGTTCTCGGGTCTATGATCTTGCAGGGGCACTTCATATTCCGTTGTTTTGGGGTTAATTAAAAATTCTGTTGGGCGATATGGGAATTTAATCTAGGAAATCATTATTTTCTTATTGTGATGGGGCAAAAGAGTTGCTCTTTATTTTCCTCCAATTCCAGGCGTCGATCTTGACGATTTTTCAGATGAATTCACGCGAAAATTCGTGATTATTTCCTCACCCCACCGTTTTATAAGTTTTCAGAACTAATTATTCCGTTTCATGACGGGTTAATTATGGGGAAAATAATCGAGAGGTATTTTTAATATTAAAAAGCGTCTTGTAATGAATTGTACACAATGAGGAACTCGGACACATAATTTGCTCTTGGTTTATTATCAGTCGGTTTTAATTTTTTTTTGTGGAAATCTTTTTCCTTTCCGAGAGCTTTTATCAAATTCAATTGTTCTCGGGTCTACGATCTCTCAGGGGCACTTCATATTCCGTTGTTTCGGAATTAATTAACCATCCTGTCTGGAAATATGCGAAGTCAATGTAGGAAATCATTCTTTATTTGACTTCAATTGCCGTCGTCGATCTTGACGATTTCTCAGATGAATTCAGGCAAAATTTTACCGTTTTATAAATTTTGAGGGCTAATTATTCCATTTCATGACGGGTTAATTATGGGGAAAATAATCGAGAGGTATTTTCGATATTAAAAGTACGCGTTACGACATTTTAATTAGACTGTCATTTCGGAATACTCTTGAGCTGTTGGGAAATGGGTATTACCGAGCTTTCTCTCCGAAAAGACGGATTTCCCTCTTTTAATCCCTAGTTATTGACCATTAAAGCCCGGTCCGTATTGCCCCGGTCTCTTTGGTTTCAACCCTAGTTATCCCGAAATAGTCAAGCTGTAGCCATGACAGCGAGATCCCACCATAGACTCCTCATAGAGCTTTGGTGCCCAACCTTCAATCCCAGTCGAACGGGTGAAAGGAACTTCTCTATTGAAATTTCGTGAATGGACAATTTGAATTTAATCAATAATCAATTCAAGTGAGGATAACGTAATGCTGCTAGTGTTATCAAAGTTCTAGGTGAATATAGTAGTACTTTGATGTAATGAAAGCATTAATAATTATATTATTTATCATTATTATTAATTCATAATGAAAATGATGAAAAAATTATGATAATAGAAAATAAAATAGCAATAATTATTATTTTACTATTTTTATTATTATGATATTACATTGTATACAATAATATTTGTACTCAAATTCATATCGCATTGTAGTTCCACTGAAACTTCAAACGATTCAATCGTAAAAAGATGAAAATTTCATGGAAAAATCAATGGAAACTTGATTTAATTATTAATTCAATTATTTCATAAAAATTAATGGCAATCAGAGTAATTAAGATTAATATATTCTTAAATTTCATATAACATTCATATTTCTGAAAATATTACACTAAACTTTCCACTGAAATCCGCAATTTCAGAATTTTTTCCCTTAAATCAAATTCAATTAGTGATGCCGCGCCAGACTTTACGAAACATCACGAGACAATCCTTTGGAGGGATGACTCCGAGTCAATTTATTTCACCTCGGTTTCCAGTTCTTCGCGTTTTTTATAAGTAGAAAATCGAGACGAGGTAAAGCGAGACAAAAACCGAGATTTTACATTAAAAATAGGAAAACTTGGGACAGAGATGAGATAAATTGACTCCGAGTCATCACGAGAGGAGTCCACACTGCGTATTTCGAGACTGAGACGAGACCAAAGATTTCCATGTTCACTGAGACCGGGACCATGTGTCCAAAGTATTGTCTCGTGACGCCTCGGAAAGTCTCGCGGCATCACTAAATTCAAAATCACTCTCCCAAAAATTACTACACTGATAGAAGGCTTTGCTTGTATCTACCTGACGGATTCGGTTGAAGGTTTTTTTTCGATTAGGTTCACATAACTGGACATTCATTGATAACTAGGACTAATCGCGGTACACTCAACTGCTGGTTGATTTTAACACCATTTGATTATGATAAATTTTTCGCTTGACGCAAACCGGGAACCGTTTAATACAACTGGGCGTTTGGTAATAGTTACCGAATCGAGGTTAGTTCAACGCGCCCTCTAGCTCAGGCTTTTCCTCACGTTGAAATCTTCAGAGAATATATAAACAAAAACGTATTTACTTTATTAAAATAATATAAGCGATTAATTGTAGGGTGTGAGTAAAACAATAACACTTTTAATTGGAAGAAGATTGTTTATAAACGGAAATTTCTGTAGTGAAATTGAAAAAAAAGTTTTACAAAAAAAGTTCTTATGGATATTACTCCAACTCCCCTGGTTTCTGATATGCTTATCACAAATCCAACCTGGTGAATAATTAATTGACTTACCTCGTTAAAATAAAATTGTAATAAATATTCATATAAAATACTTTTCATAGAATTCATCGGCGGCGGATTGTGTCCCTTTTGTGGTTATGTTTTGGATAATTAGCAAATCCTAAAATACATTCTCCTCTGTGTAACGTCGTTTTTTCTGGAAGTATAACCATTTTCAGTACATTTTCACTGCATTTCCACATCTAGACGGCCCGTATTTTCAAATTTTCACATGACAATCAATGTTTAATAATAAACAACAGAGAAGTTACACCAACTAGCGATTCGGTAACTATTACCAAATCCTCCAGTTGGCTCAACCTTAACCTCTCAACTGAGCCGTTCGGTAACTATCAACGGGCCATTCAATTGTTCTTATTTTACTGCGACATTAGGTAACAGTTACCGAGCCTGTGTAATATCAACCGAATCCTTCTATCAGTGTAGTTAATTCTCGATGAAATTTCACTTGTTTCTAACAGTGCAACTGATGTTTAAACAAACTATCCCTCTCCCCCCACAATCAACTAATTTACAGAGTTAATTACTGGAGTGCCGAGAGCATCGCTCCAATCTCCACAATTTTATTACTTCAATCTCCCCCTCCCGCATCGCTAACTCAAGTAAAATTGATTCATTATTGACTCTCCCCAGACATTTATTTAGGATATGAAACCGTTTGTGCGCGGAGAGCGGTCACTAGTAATACCATTTCGTCGTTACTCACAGTGTCCACAGATATATCCCTCCCTCCCGCCTTCGCTGCCGCCCGATTCACCTCTCCCTCTATCTTTCTGTAAATATACCTAAACTATAAAGGCGGATCGTCTTGGCAAGCGGTGCTGACTTCTCTCGTCTCGTAGTCGCTCTTATATACCAGAATCCACCCACGTCTCATAAATTACCGTGTCCAAACAGGTGTACGTGTATTAACTGTACTGTGTGAATTTTACTACAACACATTATTCTTCATTTTGTTTGTTTCATTCAAATTGTGGGACTGAAGGTTTCATCCAATTATAGCGACATTTATATAGGAGAGAATTCTCGACTCTGGGGAAACGAACAAATTGGATAATTTATTTTGTGATATAATATTTTGGACGGTCGGAAATTTTTGGGTGATGTTTCCGGTAGGATTCTTTAAAATTTGTGTCAGTGGTAGTTCAACTGAAATTTGAAGGAACTTCGTTGTTAAATATTAATAATCAGAATCGAATTACTAATTCATTAGCAAAAATATATTGACTATGATGTGACAAAAGCCATTTCCCACGGGTTAATTATTTGATTAATATTAATGTTTGGATTTATAATTCTTCTTTTTGTTTGTTTCATTCATGTTCTGGGACTGGAGATTCACTGTTAAAAAAAATTGAAATTCCATGGACAGTTGATTACTAATTTTCAGGACAGTGACATTGAATGCGATTTAGGGGACAAAAAATCATGAAAATTCAGGTTTCACTTAAAATTTAGTACAATTTTAATGAGCATGAAGACGCGAATTCCTTAATTTATTTGAATTTCCAATCTAATACGAATATTCAGTGCCAAATTACATTGAATTTTCAGGGAAATCTGAAATTTCACGATTCTTCCCCGTAAATCGCATTCAGTGTTACTGCCCTGAAAATTGAAGAATATATTTACCGTAATTTTCTGGTTTTCTATTCATTTTCAGGGAAAAATGGAATTGAAATTTATAGTTTCGTTTGATTTCTCCCCAAAATTCTGAATTTTCAGCGAC